AGACTCATATGGTCTGATGCTGAGTGAAGTGACCAGCACCAAGAGAACATGTGTAAAATAACAGCCATGTTGTGCGATGATTGATATTGATAAACAACCGTTAGCAATACAATGATCTAAGACATCTCCAGAAGCCTAGTGATGGAAAATGCTATCCACATCCAAAGAAAGAACTATGGAAGTTGAGTTGCTATCTTTTTTTCTCTTATGCTGAGTTTTGTTTCCTCTTTCTGGTGGTTCCTCCTATTGATTTTAATTTTTATTTACAACATCACTAATATGAAAATATGTTTAATATGAATGAAAATGTATAGCCTATACCAGATTGTGCAACATCTTGGGGAGAGACGTGGGGAGGAAGGGGGGGAAAATTTAAACTCAAAAGCATATGGAAGTGATTGTTGATAAATCAAAAGAAATTAATAAAATAAAATTTTTTAAAAGAAAAAAATGGGAGGAATAAAAGACAAAACTGGTAGGGAGGCAGAAGAAATTAATAACAGATGGTGAGAATACACAGAAGAACTATATTTGGAGATCACTGGCGCTCTCTCTGGAGGTGGATAGCATTCTTTTCATCATGAATCCTTTGGAATTGCCTTGGATCATTGTACTGATCAGAGTAGTCAGTTTCACAAATGATCATCATTACAGCATTGCTCTTACTGTGCACAATGATCTCTTGGTTCTTCTCATTTAACTTTGCATCAGGTATACATAGTTCTTCGCATGCTTTTCTGAAATCATTCCCCTCAGGATTTATTATAGCCTAAAAGTATTCCATCACAAACATATGCCACAGCTTTTCCAGCCAACCCCCAATTGATGAGCATCTCGATTTCCACTTCTTTGCCACCAAAAGAAGAGCTGCTATGAATATTTTTATATGTCTAGGCACTTTTCTTTGTTCTTTGATCTCTCTGGAATATGGAGCTGATAGTGGTATTGCTGGGTCAAAGGGTATGTAGAGTTTTATATCCCTTTAGGCATAGTTGCAAAGTGTTGTCAAGAATGGTTGTACTAGTTCATTATTGCACCAGCAGTTCCCCTTGCAGAAAACCAAATGAAATATTATTTGTAACAACCGCTTAGTACACTGTCTGGTATAGAGTAGGCACTATAGAAATGTTTATTTCCTTCCCTTCCCCTTTATTTCTTCTTCCAAGTCCCAAGAATGTAGTTCATCTGGGCAAAGTTTCATGAATTCATAGAGAATAATTAGTTCCTCCCCAATTGGTAAATATTAAAAGGAGACAAGGCTGATGACTTTGCACAACTCTGCCTCACTTAAATCCAATTCACACATAAGTCAAGACATCCCTCTCATGATGGCACTGGTAGTCTTCAAGCATGAAGGACGTACAACAGCGATTTGTACCACACACATTCATGGACCTAGTTAAGACACTCATCCCCTCTTGCTCTGATTACTATAATCAGCTAGTGAGTCAGGTGCCCAAAATAGCTAATGCAGGAAGTCATCTTAAGATAAGGAGGAAAACAAATGTACCTGTCAAAACAATACCAAGTTTCCATGGGGAAAAAAAAAGATGGAGACAGCCCAGGATTGTTACCACAGAGCCTTGGGAATGCCAATGAACCCTGATTCCAGACCCCTTGACAACTGCTTCTGATCAGCACACAGACATCACTTCAAAAAGGACTGCAGGTCCTTACAAAAACCCTGAAGTAGAGTGTCAAGCAGTTACCATTCCCTTGCCACACTGAGCCTTCCCAGAGCATTGGTCCCCCTCTTCCATCCAACGGAATTATATCACCTTGGAAAATTTGTCCAAAGGTGCTATTCTACCAAATCCTCTTGCTTTGTTGGGGCAAAAGAGATTCTAAGAGCTTTACAAAGAAAATAAAATGATTCTTGTCCAACAGTGTGATACAGCCATCTCAATCCATCTCAGGAGAGCTGGTTGTTAAATTCTAAGTGTGAACATTTTCATCTTGGACATCTGACAAATACCACAAGTAAGAGCTGGATCTATTCTTTTATTTCTGTATTTAAGAATGTGATGGAGAAAATAGTAATAGTGCAGACTAAACTTAAAAGTGTGTCAAATATACATTTTATTTTGAGAGAGAGCTGACTTTTAAGCATTTATCAGCACACATCTACATCCTGCCTCTATGGAGAATTTTTACAAGCATTCCCCCAAAAGCTGTCCAGCCTGGAAAGCTGTGGCTGGATTGCCATTTGCATTGTCAAAAGGAGTCCTCCCACTGATACAATCACAGACCCATTGAAGTGTATACCAATGGCAGAGAAGGCCATCTTGGCTCTACTATTTGCTACCACTCTGACCTTGGTCAGGTCCCTTCCCATACTTAGACCTCAGTTTCCTCCACCTAAATACTAAGAATGTTAGACCAGAAAACCTAGCTCTCAGTCATCTCTTGTGATCCTGTGATACCCTAGTTCCCCCTACCCTGCCCCTAGTTTAGACATGAGGAAATTTCAGCAGGGACAGCCTAAGATTTACACAAGGTCATGCACCCAGTGAATGGCAGCCAAAACTGGGATCCTGCCTGAACTATGGTTTCACCCAAACAGAGATAAACTTTTTTCAGTGTTTATAGGAGACATGGACCCTGGTGACCACCCATAGACTCTTTTGAACCTGACGCAAACTTCTGAGCAGGATTAAATTTCTTTGAAACTTATCTATGTATCTAAACCAGCACTGCTATTATTTAATTCCTGCTGATTGGTTCCACACAGATGGAAGACACATGGTGCAAGGACAAGAAAGAGTGACCTACATTCAGAAGGGGGCTCACTTTTCATTATTTCATTTTTCCTAGTTGCATATAAAGATGGGAGCACACTTTGAATCAAACATCTGATCATTATGATCAGGGGAGACCTCATGCATGGAGACACAAGCTCATGAACGCTTTTGGGTACTATCATGCTGGGGAGCCAGAAAGATTCTATCTGAGTGGTGAGGTCTTCCAAGTGCTCCCATTTGGGGATAAAATGGCACTGGGTCCATCAAACCCTCAAACCCTGCAGAGCATTCTAGACAAGATGGAATTCTACTTCATTCCTATTTGCTCTATTCTGAGGTTCAATTTAGAGGCAATAAGCAGAAAAGCTATGTCATTATTAGATCTGTACATAGCTTTTAAAGTTATACACAAGTATAATTATAGTGCTTTACAATGGGTAATGCAATTTTTGTGCATCATCTCCTTTGACCACCACAAAGTATCATGTGAGCTCAGTAGTGCAAACCATGAGGTTGTTTGGGATACTGGCAAAGGGTCTGGATTTGGGGACAGAGGATCAAATCCAAGCTCTGCTGATGACTCTCTATGTCACCTTGGTCAAGCCACTTGTCTTAACTAAGGCTTCAGTTCCTCATATGTCAAATGAAGCCATTGGACTCAATATCTTCCAACTTTCCATCCAACTCTAACTATGATCCTATGGCTCTCTTTAGCACTGTAAGATTCATCAAGCATTTTATAGATATTATTTCCTTCAACTCATATCATTTCTGAAGCAAGCAGTGTAAGCATTGTTAACCTCTTTATACAAATGGAGACACGTGGACTTTGGATCCAAGTATGCTAACCAGGAAGTGGCATAGCAGGATTTGAACCCACAGCTTCCAACTCTACCTTAAGTTTCTGTATTGAGAGGTTTTCTATACTGATACAGATTGGTACTTTTTATACAACATGCTGTCCTAGAGAGGTTTTTGAGAGCACTAAGAGGAAAATTGAATTTTCCAAGATCATACAATAAATATTATTCTTCCTGATTTCAGGGACAACAGTTTATCCAATATGCCACATAAGAATAAAATGTGGGATTAGAAATATAAAAAGAGAAGTAAAGAGCTAGCAACTTTGGGTAGCCTGGCGGTAAGTCCTCCAGTCACAGAGATTTTCTCAGCTCTTCATCATTGCATATCTTATGGCAATTCCCTCATAACAAAAAAATGGAACATAGCTTTTATTCATGTCGAGGCTAAAAGAACTAACCAGTTTCAGATGGCTTGATATACAATGTGTCCCAAAAGTCCTGGATTGCATCAAGGTAGCTCCCTAGTTTCTAGAAATATATTTGACTAAATTGAAAAGAATTGAATTGAGGCAAATGTCAGCACTATGAAAGCCAAGACCTATTTGAGTTACAGCTCTATTACTACTTTTTTGTGCCTTAAAAAATTATTCTAAATTTAAACAACAAAAAAAAGTGCATACTCACAGATGAACACAAATGAGGATGTTATACGGAAGTATGAATTGTCATTTTTTACCTCTCAGTGTAAAATATCTATCATAATTTCCATATGGTATTTTCAAAGGTATTCTGCTGTTTGTGCTTTCTTCTTAATTTCCTTCTATCCACTTATATCTACTTAATTTTTTAATTTAACATTTTATTGTTTCCAATTACTTATGAAAATAATTTTAACATTAATTTCTTAAAATTTTGAATTCTAAATTCTCTCCCTCCTTCCCTCTCCTCATTGGGAAAGCAAGTAATGCAATAGAGGTTATACATATGCAGTCATGAAAAACACATTTTCATATTGCATTGTGAAAGAAAAAGGAAAAAAAAAACCAAGAATAATAAACAAAGCTGTTCAAGAAGTGTGCTTTCAATTGCATTCATATTCCATAGAGAGCTGAATAGGAGCTGAAAGGATCCAGCTCTCTCCTGTTAACATATGAGGAAACTGAGGCCAGAAAAATTAAATGACTTTCCCATGGACACAGACCCCTTAGCTGAGAATAAAGTTTAATTCAGATCTTCCTGATTCAAGGCCTAGTGCTCTATTCACTATGTCATGTTTCTGGATGGGAAGAAGGTTGCCTAGGAAAGGTAAGCCTGTGGATGAACAGGGGAAACCTAAGAGCATTAGGAAGGTTATTCTGTTTAGAGTGGGGAAATGAAGGTGGGGGAGGGCTCCTAAGACAAACTTTAAGAACTTCACATGGTTACTAATGGCTTTCCCTGCTGTCTCTCATTACTTAATCTATTTTGTATCTCTCCTTTAGGAGAAAGATAATCCCCAGTCTGAATTTGACTTGGAAAATCTAAAAATGACAGGAAGAGATTTATTTAGTGCAGGAACAGTGACAACGCACAGCACCGTAAGATATGGCCTGCTGCTCATTCTGAAACATCCTGAGGTCCAAGGTAAAGTACAGGAATTGCCATGCTTTCAGACCAGGCTTGCTTTCCCATCCCTGCAGCTTGCTCAGGAGCTGGCCTCTGCTTTCCCCTATTGGATTTGCATGACTTCCTCACAGATCAGCAACAGGTCAGACAGTAGCATATTGAAGAAAACAGGACCCTTGAACAAGACCTGTTTGTTATTTAAGCATGTGGCGGTGTATTATGGGGAATTCAATTCACTTTAAACAGCACATATAAAGCTCCCACTGTGCACCCTCAGTTCTATGCTTAGCATATAAAGACTCAAATGAAACACCCCTTTCCTCAAATGGCTTGCCTTCTGCCAGGCATACTACTGCTGGATCTAAGGAGGCAGAAGTAGGAACCATAGGTAGACCTTACAAATTGACAATGGAGACTTCATGTAAGGAAAGACTTACCAACTATTAAAATTCTCCAAAGTCCATTCAGCTGTGCAGGAAATAGTGAGTTCTTGCTTACTAGAGATTCTCAAGCAAAGGCTGGTTGACCCTTTGTTCAGTCCATTAGAGTCAGGATTCCTGTTCAGCTATGGATGGCCCTAGGTGAAAACATGTCACCTGTAATGCTGAGATTCTATGCCTCAGCAGCTCAGGGTATTGAGACAGGAGCTGAGATACACAGCTGGTGAATGGTTTAAATCAAGATGATAATGCCATCACCAGCACTATCAAATTCAAATGAAGGCATCTACTTGCTTTGAAACAAAAGCTGGCATAATAATCATAAAGAATGTGAGGTTACAAATAACTTGACATGTAATTTCATTTGATGCCTGCTAAGGAGGTGCAGTTTTTAATCTCCATTTTATAAATCATACAATAATAGGGTTAGAGGAGTAAGGTACCTTAGAAGACAGATAATTTATGATCCTCGTTTTTCAGATAAACAAAATGAGGCTTACATAGATTTAATGACTTGCCTGAATTTACACAGGTAGTGTCTAAAGAGAAATGTAAACACAATTCTTTCTGACTCCCATCCAGTAAATCATGGAAGTTTATCCTATTGCTGTTACAGAAGCCTTTGTATCCTTGACTGAGTAGGAGGAGGACACTGAGCCCATGTGAGAATCATCTTAGGTCATAACAATGGGCAGATATTCCACACAGGCTCAGTTGAGCATTCCCAGGAGAGTGGAACATTGAGTGGTGATTTGTATTTTTTGTCTCTGCAGCAAAAATTCATGAGGAAATTGGACGTGTGATTGGACATAATCGACTTCCTTCCATAAAGGACAGACAAGATATGCCCTATATGGATGCTGTGGTGCATGAAGTGCAAAGATTCATTGACCTCATACCTCTCAACGTACCCCATGCAGTGAACCGGACATCCATTTCCAACAATATATCCCCCCAAAGTCAGTAGTCTTGGGAGAATGGGATCTTAAACACAATTTATTCCAATGATCTCATCATGGACATGAGAAAATGGAGTCCCATTGTCATGATCTCACTTAAAGTTCTCCTTGAGGCAGTGCTTTATTACATACAGCCTACTTGCATGTGGTGCTAAATGAAGAATAAGAGAAAAGTGTGCCCTTATCTCTGTTCTTCCTGCTTCTCATTCACCACAGTAATGCTCTGGAAAGAAAATGTACAGGGAACGTAACAGGGTGAGGTTGCTCAAGAGAAATGTTTTTGTCCTTTTCTCTTACTAGGCAGTGAAGCAGAATGTATAAATACTATTATCTGTCCCATTGTGTAGATAGGGACATTGATTTTCAGGTGTAATGACTTCCCTAAGATCATTTAAGTGTTGGAGCTGAGACTTGAACCTAGGTCTTTAGACTCTAAAATACTGCTTTCTGGGGTTGCTAAATAAACAGTGAATGAATTAAAATGAATTAGATTGAAGTTTCCTAGCAATGGCTGAGCAAAACTATCTCCCTCAAGGAAAAGTGAAGGGAGCATCACACCTAACTTCACATTTAATGTACCCCACAGAGGCATTTCAGTTGAAATCATGAAGGCTTCAGTAAGAACTTACCATGTGAAATTTGCTAGGCCAAGTGCTATTGAAACAAGGCGAGAATAGAAGGGTTTTTGACCATTGAAGACTTTGGCTTGTGCAGGAGGGAGCTGAGTTTGGAACCAGAAAAGTCAGCCTAAAGTATTATTTCTTTCCTTCAGACCCAAGCTGTGATTTGATTGGCAAAGTGGCTTCTTGCTGAAGAAACTCCCTCAGGAGGTAGCCTGGTCTGCCCCTAGAGTTTAAGCATTGCCTGGGCACTGGCCATTCACATGTTCTGCCCAGAGTCCCACAGGCAGCAGGTGCACACATGATGTATAGACCAAAGAACTGAGGGTAGGGAGAGCACAAAGAGCTTAGCACCTCAGCCAAGGTTTCCTGTAAGAGGGTTACCCAGGCCAATCCTTGAAGAAAGCTGGGGAATCTAAAAGGCTGAAGTGAGCAAGGAGTGGCTTCCAGGTGTGGGACATGGTCACTATAAAGGCATGAAGACCACAGAGGGGCTTTGTGGATGGGGAACAGCAGCTGGACTAGTTCAGCTGGAGCCCCAAGGAAGGCTTGATGGGGACAATAATGGGGACATCACTCTGGAAAGCTAGACTGGGGCCTAAGCAGATTCTTAATGGCGTGACATCTCATGCACATGCAAAGAAGTATGCATTTTGTACTAGAGAACATAGTGAGTCTCTGAAGATTCTTGGGACAAGACTACAAAGGATATTCGTAATGATACCTGACTCTCCTCTGGAATTTCTTCCTTTAGGGCACAACAATATTCCCACTGCTCACCCCAGTGTTGCATGACAAGAAAGAGTTTCCCAAGGCTGACCAGTTTGACCCACAGCACTTCCTGGATGAGAACGGGAAATTCAAGAAAAGTGACCACTTCATGCCTTTTTCTATTGGTAAAAAGAAACCCTTCTCATCTCTACCTCTCACCCTAAAAGGAGAATCCTATTCTCTCTCCCACTCTCCTCTGGCTGAGTCTTCTCCTGGCAGTTCTTCTGAAGACACATAGCCCACTCTGACATGACATACAATGTCTTTTCTAGTATTCCCGTGACCTGGCTTTTTCTCAGAGCCCTGAATAGATGAGAGCCTCTTGGCTGGCTCACCTGCCTCTAATTCCATTGCAAGATCCATTACACAAGGGTTACTGTGAGAAGAATGTGTGAAGAAGGAATTCCTTCCTTCTCCTTATGGCCATTAATGGTTGAATTATAACTAATAATAATAGTTCTCACCATTTCTGCCCATATACTTATTTCTCTTTTACTCCTTTTCCCATTATTGTGCTGGATCAGCAAGTCTGTTTCACTCTGGCTGACTGTGATATTCCATGAAGATTACAAGCAGAATTCCATTTCTTTCTAGGAAAACGGTCTTGTGCTGGAGAGGGCCTGGCGAAGATGGAGGTTTTTTGTTCCTTACCACCATTCTACAGAACTTCACTCTCAAACCAGTTGGAGATCCAAATGAAATTAGAATAAAGCCCAATTATGTTGGATTCAGCAACGTCCACCACATTACCAACTATGCTTTCTTCCTCACTGAGAAGAACACAAAGTTGATTTGGTGAATTAGCAAGCTGGTTCATCTTCTGTACTGAATACTCTCATGTTTTTTCTGGAATCCCTTTGAGGAAAGAAAAATTCCCACATCTTGATTAAAATGAGTTTTAAATTTCAGAGACATGACAGCCTTGTTGAGTATCTTGTATGTCATTATATGCTGGGGCTGCATTATAGACATTCATGTGCAACCCTTGAACCAATACCTCCAGGCAAATCCTCAATTCTAGATTTAGGGTGTGGAGGAAGATCTGTAAAATATCCCCCTCCAAACCATATTTGTTTGTACTTTTCTTTTCATGTTTCCTTCCAGATGATCCTATTTTTTATTATATAGCTCTTGTTTGTGAATTTGGGGGAGAATGAACAGGGCTATGTTGCTAACAACTCCAGACATGCAAATATGTGTTTTTCCTTCCATACACTGAGGATTCATGACTTCAAAGAAAATGTGGTAACAGGGAAGGATTCCTGGCTTTGGGAGCAGAGGACCTGAGATCAATCCTGCCCCTAATGATAACAACTTGTGTGGCTTTGGGCAAGTCACTTCACCATTTGTTCTCACAACAGATTCTTCACCTCTACAATGAATGGGTTGGATTAGGTAGGCTCAGAATTCCCTAATGAGTCTCCATCTATGATACTTTGATCAGTGGGGTGAGTCCATTCATCAGTGCTTTAGGTCCTTACTCCATTTCTCATTTCACTTTCCTCCTTTCAGCACTGAGCCAGTTCTAACTCAACTTGCTCTGCACTTTCAAATCCCACATCCCTTTGTCCCATGGGACATGCACTACTTTACTGAAAACTAGCAAGAAATTATTGCTACCACTTGCCTTCTCTGTTATTATAACCTTGCAAGTGAACACAGATCTCTGCCCCAACTGACTACCCTCTCCCTTCAGTATCTATTCTAAGATTACTCTTCTTTACTGGGGCCTCTCCTTTCATCTCACTCCTTCCCTCTCACCATAACACTGAACTTAATACATCACTAAGAAAATTGAGATTATGGATTGCTAATTTATTCTTTTCTAAAATTCTTTATTCTTAGTCATCTCTCCACCATCACACACAAACTTTCTTCCTTTTGTTCTAATATGGCAGAGGAACTGGAAAGAAAAAAAAAGAAGGTAGCATCTCTTTTTCTAACCACTCACCCCACTACTTTGGCCTTTGCTCTCACATCCCCCTCTCTCTGCTGAGATGTTTCACCCTCTAACCTCCCCTGTCTTTCCCTAATTTTCAATATTCTTAAATCCATTGATTCCTATCCTATTGCTTACTGTAAAATGCACTTCTCCCTCATCCTTAAAACAAAACTAATCAAAAAAAATCTCATTCCCAGAGATTCCCTGGCTGACTCTTTCTGCCTATATTGTACTCAGAACTTTTGTAACTTTGAAAAGACAAAGTATGCCTTTTTGAACATCTGCTGAGTCAACAATAGATTTGCTTCCACTTTTGCGAGGCTCAGGATATCTGAGTCCTGCATGACTGGCTTTTCATCTTAGAGGCACAAGAGTGCTGAGTCACACATGGCCAGCAGCAAAGCCACCTGGGAATCCCTCTACATGCTCTGTTCAGTCTCAATTATATTGCCTTCATCTCTCTTTCTTCCTTTCCATGGCCAAACTCCTAGAAAAACTATCTACCTATTGGCCACTTTTTCACCTCTTTATGACCTCTTTTGGGCTTTTCTTGGACAAGATCCTGGAGCAGTCTGCCATTTCCTTCTTCAGCTTATTTAGCAGATGAGGAGCTGAATCAAACAGGGTTAAGTGACTTGCCCAGGGTCACACTGTTAGTAAGTGTCTGAAGCCAGATTTGAACTCAGAAGGAGTCTTCCTGATTCCAAGCCCAGTCATCTGTACAACTATATACCTAGGTACAAAGGTAAATAACAGTGAGTAATCAGAAGGGACCATACAAGGATACAGTATTTAAGCTCTCACCTGTAGCCCCCAAGAAGCTGTAGTATGTGCTATGGCCAAATCCTGCTAAAACCATCTTGGCTGACCAGCTAAATCAAGTTGAGGGTAAGTGACAGGCCTGAAACCCATTTGTGACTTAGGGGGATGTCAACCTAAAGCATATAGCGACTTCCCCTTGTGGAATGAGTGGATGAAAACAATTATTCCAATGGCCATGAAGGCAGCTGGATCTTAGTCAGACATCAAAGCTGCCAAGGCCATTTAATATATCCTGTGCCATCACCAGTCTTCCTGACTTTTATCTTGCCCCAAACTTTTGCTGAAAGAGAGAGTGAAGCTGACCCCTTCATTTAAATATAATTCATGAACAATTCAAGACATCACCCCAAGATGTCATTGGTCCTCTTCCAAAAGGAAGGATGAACAATACTTTACATGCTAAGAGGGAAAGATGCTGTAAGTCTCCTCTAACTCCTAATGCACTGAAAGGTCATAGAGGCTATTAAATAAATGGAGGGCTTGAAAGTGTTTTTGTTATGTATTGATGACCACCAAGAAGAAAGAAAAAAGAGGGAAAGAGCAATACTCTAGGGAAAAAAGTGAGAGACTGATTGGGAATGCTTTATCTCACATAACTGAAGTGGGCAAAATAGAAGGTTTTATAGAAATGAGGAAAGAGTTTGGACTTCTGGACTGTGGTTTAAACTTGAAGGATGACAAGCTCCTGATTTAGGGAGAACATTCACCTCACATGGGCTAGTAAGGGGGTATATGACTGGAGTCTTTGAAATCTTTTTTAAAAGGGCTTTAAGTTGAAAAGGAAAAGGTTGTGGGGAAAGAAACCTACCTATGTGGTTTTCATATGCATTTTAAGTATAATGGGTAGCTACAGTGTGGGAAGAATAGTAGCAAAATACACCTTGACATTGACAGCAGGCCAAGTCTGTGGAAAGATCCCCCAACAAATTTCATGGCCTCAGATCTCTAAAAACTAGTTCACAAAGTATTTGGAGCAGGCAAGGGGAATTTTTGATTCTCCAGGATGGAGGGAAATTTGACCTTTTTGGTATCAGCAAGACATGGAAGGATGAGATCCATGAATGGAATGAGTATACAGTATTTGAAAGGAAAAGGACAAAGCACAGATAAGGGGAAAGGTAAGGGTAAGTAGTAGCATGTGAAGAAATTCCAGAAAGAGGAAAAGCAAAAGGGGAGCCACTGGAATGAAGATCAACAGAGGGGAATATAGAAACAATATTATTGTTTTTACCTAGATGGAAAGAGGAAACAAGCAAGGAGTTAGGGAGAGGAGATATGAAATAATAGTGATTGGAGACTTCAAAAAGTGGACATCTGCTGAGATATCCTCTGTCTGTCTCTCTACCTCCATCTTTTCTCCTCTCTCTGGCTCTTTTTGTCTCTTTCTCTGTCTTTCTCTTTCTCTTTATGTCTCTCTCTGGCTCTGTGCCTGTCTATCTGTCTTTCTCTCTCCCTCTTTTGGGGCAGCTAGGTGGCACAGTGGATGGTATGCCATACTGGGACTTAGGCAGACTTTAGTTCAAATCTAGATTCTGACACTTACTAGCTGTGTTACCCTGGGCAATTTACTTAACTTATGTTTGACTCACTTTCCTTATCAGTAAAATGGGGGACAATAATAGCACTCAATTCCCAGGGTTGTTTTTGTGAGAATCAAATGAGATAATTGTAAAGCAGTTAGTACAATTCAAATATCGTGGGAAAACAGACAGCATAACACAAAATTTATCAACTTCCACTTGAAAGGATTAGGTTTGGACTAGTATATTTAGGAGGGTAAAGAGGCTAAGATTTCAACCAAGAATCAACTATCCACCAAAACTAAGTCTAATCCTTCAGGTGAAAAAAGGACATTTAGTGAATTAGAGGACTTTCAAATATTCCTGAGGAAAAGAGCACAGCCGAATAGAACATTTGATTTTCAAACACAAGACTCAAGAGAAGGACAAAAAGAAAAGTTAAAGGAAAGGTAAATCCTAAGGGATTCTATGAGATTATGGTGTTTACATTGCTACATGAGAATTCGATATATGTAATTCCCAAGAACCTAATCATTATTACAGCAGTTAGAAGGAGTATATATAGACACAGGTCATGGGTTTGATAGAATGATATAAAAAATAAAATTAAGGAGTAAGAAAGAGTGATTCCGAGGTGGAAGAGGGAAAGGGGAAGTGGGAGGTAGAATGGAGAAATAGTCTCACAAGAAAGATGCAGAAAAGAACTTTCAAGTGGAGGGAAAGAGGGATAGAGAGGGGAGTTCTTGAAGCTTAATCTCATTGGAATTAACTCAAAGAAGGACTAACACACACACTAAATTCAGTATAGAAATCTATCTTACCATACAGGGAAATGGAAGGAAAAAGGGACAAGAGAAGGAGAGGCTAATAGCAGGGAGGCTAGATTGGGAAGGCAGTAGACAGAAGCAAAACACTTTTGAAGATGGACATAGTGAAAGGAGAGAGAAAGATAAATGTGGAAAATAGGATGGAGGGAAATATATTATAATGAGAACTGTGAAAAAATTACAGCAAAAATTTCTCTGACAGAGGCCTTATATCTCAATTCCTAGGAGAACTGAGCTAAATTTATAGGAACACAGATCATTCCTCAATTGATAAATGGTCAAAGAATAAGAATGGGTATATTTCAGATGAAGTAATCAAAGGTATTCATAGTCTTATAAAATGCTTTAAATCACTATCGATTAGAGAAATGCAAATTAAAACAACTCTGAAGTACCACCTCATACCTATCAGATTGGCTAATATGACAGAAAGGGAAAAAGAGAAATGTTCAAGGAGATGTGGGAAAATTGCGATATGAATGCACTATTGGTGCAGTTGTGGATACTCATGTGATAAGAAATAACTGGCAGGATACTGTCAGAAAAAGCTAGAAAGGCTCACATACACTGGTTCAAAGTGAAAGGAGCTAAATCAGGGGATCACTGGACACAGTAACAGCAATACTGTGTGATAATCAACTGAGTGACAGCTATTCTCAGCAATACAGTGATCCAAAACAGTTCCAAAGGATTTATGATGAAAAACACTTTCCAACTCCAGGGAAAGAACTGATGGAATATGAATGCAATTGAAAGCACACTTCTTGAACAGCTTTGTTTATTGTTCTTGGTTTTTTTTTTTCCTTTTTCTTTCACAATGCAATATGAAAATGTGTTTTTCATGACTGCATATGTATAACCTCTATTGCATTACTTGCTTTCCCAATGAGGAGAGGGAAGGAGGGAGAGAATTTAGAATTCAAAATTTTAAGAAATTAATGTTAAAATTATTTTCATAAGTAATTGGAAAAAATAAAATGTTAAATTAAAAAATTAAGTAGATATAAGTGGATAGAAGGAAATTAAGAAGAAAGCACAAACAGCAGAATACCTTTGAAAATACCATATGGAA